GTTGCTTCACCTCATTTTGCCGTCACATCCTGACAGCTGTATGTTGCTTCACCTCAAAATGTTGCCGTCACATCCTGACAGCTGGATGCTGTTTCACCTCATGATGCCGTCACATCCTGACAGCTGGATGTTGCTTCACCTCATGTTGCCGTCACATCCTGACAGCTGTATGCTGCTTCACCTCATGTTGCCGTCACATCCTGACAGCTGGATGCTGCTTCACCTCTTGTTGCCGTCACATACTGACAGATGGATGTTGCCGTCACATCCTGACAGCTGGATGTTGCTTCACCTCAAAATGTTGCCGTCACATCCTGACAGCTGGATGCTGCTTCACCTCGTGTTGCCGTCACATACTGACAGCTGGATGTTGCTTCATCTCATGTTGCCGTCACATCCTGACAGCTGGATGTTGCCGTCACATCCTGACAGCTGGATGCTGCTTCACCTCGTGTTGCCGTCACATACTGACAGCTGGATGTTTGTTCATTTAATGTTGCCGTCACATCCTGACAGCTGGATGTTGCCGTCACATCCTGACAGCTGGATGCTGCTTCACCTCATGTTGCCGTCACATCCTGACAGCTGGATGCTGCTTCACCTCATGTTGCCGTCACATCCTGACAGCTGGATGCTGCTACACCTCATTTTGCCGTCACATCCTGACAGCTGGATGCTGCTTCACCTCATGTTGCCGTCACATCCTGACAGCTGGATGCTGCTTCACCTCATGTTGCTGTCACATCCTGACAGCTGGATGTTGCTTCACCTCATTTTGCCGTCACATCCTGACAGCTGTATGTTGCTTCACCTCAAAATGTTGCCGTCACATCCTGACAGCTGGATGCTGTTTCACCTCATGATGCCGTCACATCCTGACAGCTGGATGTTGCTTCACCTCATGTTGCCGTCACATCCTGACAGCTGTATGCTGCTTCACCTCATGTTGCCGTCACATCCTGACAGCTGGATGCTGCTTCACCTCTTGTTGCCGTCACATACTGACAGATGGATGTTGCCGTCACATCCTGACATCTGGATGTTGCTTCACCTCAAAATGTTGCCGTCACATCCTGACAGCTGGATGCTGCTTCACCTCGTGTTGCCGTCACATACTGACAGCTGGATGTCGCTTCATCTCATGTTGCCGTCACATCCTGACAGCTGGATGTTGCCGTCACATCCTGACAGCTGGATGCTGCTTCACCTCGTGTTGCCGTCACATACTGACAGCTGGATGTTTGTTCATTTAATGTTGCCGTCACATCCTGACAGCTGGATGTTGCCGTCACATCCTGACAGCTGGATGCTGCTTCACCTCATGTTGCCGTCACATCCTGACAGCTGGATGCTGCTTCACCTCATGTTGCCGTCACATCCTGACAGCTGGATGCTGCTTCACCTCATGTTGCCGTCACATCCTGACATCTGGCTGCGACTTCATCTCATGATGCCTCGTGGGATTTTATGAATTTAGAAATTGTTAGCCACAGATGATGGCAGCTTTTTTTGTAAAATATATTATGGCTCATGGTTCTAAATAAATAAATGTTTAGGGTTTTTGGTTCCAGGTGAAGCTACCACAATAGTTAGACTCCATACAAAACTTCCCAGCCTCCCCCTACCTGATTATTAATACACATTTCTGGTGAAATAGATGAAAGCTTTCACATCACTGAATCCCTTAAGGCTATGCACTTTCCATTTTCAACATTTTTACATTGGATCAGAATTCTGTGAGGAATGAAATGTTTGCTTGGAGAGCACTGCTGGGGTCATCCTTCACAGTTTCAGCTTCATTGGCCTTTACGGGAAATGTTGAAAATGGAAAGAACATAGCCTTAAGGATTCAGTGATGTGATGGCCACCATTATTGCCATTTTGAAAATGTCACCTTTTTCCATTTGTCTGCATGTATCACGGAGTATGAACTGCAGTGCCTGATATGCATAAAATGTGTTCGTTTTTTTTGTGTAGTTTGGGAGTTATAATAACTTCAATCTTTGTCATTCATGTACCCTCGTGACTGCTTTGTTGAATGGTAGGCTGACCCTTCACCATGAATGCAAATGCAGATGTATGGATGTCATTCAGTCTTGTGAGGGTGTGTTGTGTAGACGTTTCTATTCATTTTTCTTCTTTTTTTCTTCTTGTATAACCTTGTATTGTGAACCGCTAACATATACTCTATTACGACCAGTATCATACAATATCACAGGCAATTAACGTCTGCTACAGTGCCTCGTGATTATGCTTTTGATGTTTATTAAAGTTGTCTTCTTGTCAATTTCAGATGGCACAGCTACATTGTGACTTATAAATATACCGTTCTGTCACTTGTTTCATAGTATATTATCTATATATGCAACTTTAGTATGAAACTGACTAATCTTGCCAATGATGTCATTGAAACTTTCTGAAAATGGAAGATATTACAGTTATTCACTTTTGCATACAAATATGTAATATTCCTTCGACGTGGACAAACACATTATCTTGTTGATAGTAACTACGTGTCATCTTCAGCAAAATTAGAGATGTCAGAGATATTGAGTAGGGAGTCCGTCCTAATTTCTCGTTCTAGGACACTGATGCAGACAATAGCTTCTCTCGGTGGTGAATCCCGGTGATTCAGTGGGTAGAAGCTGATCTGTGTCCTTGTTGCAGACTGATAGAACATTCCAGTGAAGTCAGCTTCCGGTGCACAATAGGAAGCAGGAAGTGCTGCCTCTCCATGCTCAACTTTGACCTGTAGCACTTAACCAGGCTATAGCAGTGTGTGTATTGACTGTTCAACAACTGGTGTTGGTCATTGTCTACTTATCTTGGATATTATCCTGTTACAAACGAACCAGGATGTTCATTGCTCAGAGATAAGGTCTGGGGTACTGTTTGGTTATAGCAGCTCCTCTATTTTTTTACAGATCACGGCTGTAGTAACAGTACATACATACATACATACATACATACATACATACATACATACATACATACATACATATCTGAGGTTTTATTCAACCACTATGCACTGCTCTGTTAGGGGTTGGTAAGTGTGAGTGTATGTAATAAAATACTCCACACACTGCGGCTAAACAAGTTGGCCATTTACCAATTAAGTTAGTTTCGCATTCCTCGTAATCGTGCTAATTGCTCTGCAATGCTCTGGAAACAGCGAAACTCAAGTAGCTCTAAAATATCAGCTGTGACCATGACCCCAGTATTCCGGGGGTGGTTGAGTAAGGTGGACAGGACCAGGCAGTGGTTGGTAGTATGAGCACATGGTCCCTCAATACCACACAATCCCCCAAGTCACACATTATGTCCACCTGATCGTCATCTTGGTGAGGGCGGTGGGGTGGCCTTGTGGTTAAAGCGTTCGTTCGTCATGTCAAAGACCCGGGTTCAATTTCCCACATGGGTACAATGTGTGAAGCCAATTTCTGGTGTCCCCCGCCGTGATATTGCTGGAATATTGCTAAAAGCTAAACTCACTCACTCACTTATCCTGGTGGGCTCAGTGGATGCCTCTCATGACGCACCTTTTTTAACCATCTGAAAAGTGAACGTTGTGCGAGAAATGCGGTCGCGCAGCACTAGGTCGATTTCGAACATTTCCCCTGGTTGTGGAATATTTCCTACCTGATGGTGTAAGATTAACTGCAAATATTACACTGGTTTGAAAAACACGGTGATAAGTGTTCGAGATTTTGTTATGCGTCAAAAACCAGAAAATGTCATTCATTATTTTGTTCGCACAAAGTATACGTACAGTTGTTTAAAGAAGTAGCACAGTACTTTTAAACATATTGTGCACACACCCACACAGTATCGTGCGTGCGTGCGTGCGTGCGTGCGTGCGTGCATGTGTGCGTGCGTGATCGTCTTTTAATGGTCTACGGGTGTCCAGGAGAACGTTTTAGAATCGCATGCGTTACTCAGCATCGTCAGTTCAGGGGTGGCAGTGTAATGGTATGGAGTGGAATCACAACTCATGGGAGAACTCGTTACCTTATTTTGAAATTCCGAACTTGTAACCATCATTTACCCATAGAAGTCTGCCGCTGGCTGTATAAACGTTGCACAGCTATAGCTGATAAATTTCTTTACCTATTTAGATGTGATGCATTTGTTCCGACGTTTTTACTTTGCTTGATTTCATCTAGACCATTTAAATATATCAGTGACACGATCAGTTGTTTTGCTTGTTTGTATTCAAAGGTAAATGTGTCGCAGCTGAGTGTGAAATACATGTAGTGTAACAGACGTCTCAAGGCCGGTCTACGCAAAACGTCATTTTGTAAACACAAGTAAATTTGGCGGAAAGTTCACTTCTGCGTTACAAAAGTAATCGATTCTATGTTTAATCGTTTCTGAAAGATTGGTGTCTTGATGTCACAGTTACCAGTGATCACTAATGATATACTTTTGTAATCGAATTCACCGATATTTTTTTAATTTCAAAACATACAAGTAACAACGCTGGGACTAGTGACGTCATGGTTAGAATAGGTCCACAGTAAGCTATGCTTGTGAGACAACAGACGTCACAGTCTCCTCTTACAAGCATGTCCCCATAGCTAATAGCTAACTGGGGACCTATGCTAACCATGCCCCGGAAATGAATAGTCATAGCTTTCCTTCATTTCAGTCAGATAGGAAACATATACTACCGTCTTGTGAGAACACAAAGGCAGTTGTCTGAAATGGTGTATGTGTGTGTGTGTGTGTGTGTGTGTGTGTGTGTGTGTTTCTGCTTGTACTAGTCGAAATAATGCCAGTTTTCAGGTGCTAGCCTACTGAGATATCATGCCGCAGTTTAACATGAATACCCCACTCAGAAACAGTATACTGACTCCAAGTCTACCAGTCCCCCGACTGGGTAACAACAGGTGCCATCTGTTTTTTAACGTCTTTTGGTATGGCCTTCCACTCTCCGGGCAAATGCTGTACCACAAGACCATGGTAGCGATTCAATAATTTAAAATAATCAAAAAGACCAATAATATTTAGAAAGCTTTATTTTGTACAATTGTATATACAGTTGGTCCTGTGTAGATCAACCAGAGAACATGACCACCATGAAGGGGCAGACCTTGGAGATCTCTACCTACAGCAGACACAACTAGACACAGCTAACACATGAGTAACAGGAATATCAGTGAGCACTTGGAAATATACACTTTGTTGTATTTAAATTCATCAGCACATTTTGATCTTCAGCACAACATATGCTAGATGCTGGGGTTATGTATAAAAACAGGACAATCTGACAAGCAAAAAGCGACAGTCATGATTGCAGCAAGCACACTGGTTTCTGTCATATGTATCATTGCTTATTTACAATTTTGAAATAAGATGCAATGATATTGTGGAATATATCATATGTTTATCACAAAGCTTCTTGTTCAACCTTTGATGCAACAACATGCAAGATTAGTTCGAAAGTATATCCTAATTTGCGATGTCTAAATTTAAGTACAGAGTTGACATTATATGTGGTCAATGCAGAGACTATGGTTTCAGAATTCAAGATCATGGCGACTGGAAGTAGGTAGTATTTATTTGTACAGAAAGCAGTCAAAACCCGAAGTAGCACACTCATTTTTACCAAACATCTGAGTCTTATAGGTCTTTACATCCACAAAGCACACACCTACAGGGACAAGTGTAGGTCTGACCATTGTTCATGCCAACACTCGAGGCCATTACCCAACACTGATGGACAACTCTCACATACTGCATCTTGAAGCAAACTGTTCCTGAAATGAACTCATCTAACACACTATTAGATTCAGCTTACATGGGTGTTTGAAAATAAACCTGACAAATCACCCTGCTACTGAACTGCAGTAGTTTTTCTACTCCTGTTGAACAATGCCACTACACTGACTGACAAGGGAAACCTCTATATACGAAACCACATTTTTTACAGACATCCCTTTAACTAACACTATGGTGAATACCATACAGGTGTCATACACACTAACTGTGAGCACTTTGGGTGAGGAGAGGAGAGAGAGAGTGCAGTATAAATTCAAACATTGGAAAGTACACACCATGTAGGATTACATCACAAAATATGACAAATATACATGTGTCTCAAAACAGCAGGATTCAATATAAGATATTTCTCTATTTGCCTGCAAGGACAAACAGAAGCATCAATACTCCCAACTCTGTTGTTTAGTCTAATTAGCACTAAATAAACACTGTAAGTTACCTATACCACTAATAATAACGAAACTTGCAAGAAATACAAAATTGGCAGAATTCTAAAATGTTTTAGTACCCTGAACCTGCATCTGTGCCATTTTGAAATTTGTACACGTGGCTAGCAAGATTATCTTTCTGTGAACACTTTGCAATACATGTATCATATCAACAAACATTTCTTGTAAACATACCTTACACAAAAGATGCATACTTACAAATACATGCATGTTAGTCAACATAAGGATTTAAATAGTAATGTTATGAAACAAAAATGTTAAGAGAAAGAATAAGTAGAATACATAATGAATAAGCTTTAACTACCAGTAAATTCATGTTACTATAAATAGGTTGCATGCAAAGTATGATCCATGCTGTCCAGTGCTCATCATCGTATCTTCAAAATGCAGCACTAAAATACATCTAATCCTGTTTTCAATATTGCTATTCTGATATGGTTTCATCTTAATACATCATATTCAACCTGCATATCATTTGCTACTTATCACATTACTTCCATCTTTCCAATAACTTCTCAAGTTATTACCAAGATAATTCACTCCCTGTGAAGCTAACTGCATCAGATATGATAGCCCTGTCTTGAGAGCCAGCTGGGTAGACAGGAACATGCCAGCTGGGTAGACAGGAACATGCCAGCTGTCCTCTACAATACGGACAACTGTGAGGACAACAAGGGAGTACATGTGAGCATTCTACACCGAGTGCCATATTGAGACCTTCATATGGAACGTACCCTTGTCACATGTCTCCAACCACATCAGGGCCCTGTCCCACAACGCTATCTTAATAACCATGAAGATGTTGAACACTGACTTGGTCACAATGCGATGATCACTTATAGTGGACTGGTGCCCAGTGTTTTCATCACTTCTGCCTGGAAACAACATGGCAAGCAGTTGTACAAGCAGCTTTTGTGCAGGACTGTAAGATTTGTTCATAATCAACCAGAACTTTTCAAATGTATTTGGATAGAATGTACAAATCATCATTACAGTGATGAAGTATTGGCACATTGGTGTTAATTTGTACAAACATACCTGCTTTCTTTGTGACAAGTGCTTTCGGTCTTTCACACTGACTGGCACATATTCCTAATATCCTACCCATGTGATATAAAGAGTTAATGCTGCCCTGCGTACTTATGAAAATGAATGATATGAGTTGCATAGATGTCAATCTTTGAATAAACCTCAAGTAAACTGAAAGTTGTGGCACTGAAGGGGTTGGTGTCAGTGTCGCATTGTGTACTACAGAATGTACTGTAGCTGAACACTGCACCACACACTAAAGCAGATGGGCGAAATTATTAAACAGTGCACGAAACTGGTTTGGGTTTCACATGTGAAGTCTTGCATGCTGCAGAAATAGACTGCTGTTAAAATGTGGTACCAGTGGTGTTGATACACAATTGTATCAGTACATGATTCCTCAACCTGCACAACCATGGTTGATGCCATCCACAGAGGAGTCAGTGTCATGCACTGATGAATGGACTAGTCTTGTGGCTCAAGGGCTATGTAGTGGCCAGCTGAGCATACAAACACCTGAATCCTGATTTGGCCAGGGTACATAACCTAAACAACAGCCCCTTTGACTTAGAGTTGGAAAACAAGAGATGTACCAGCCTTACTAACAGGTCCAGGACTGGCCCCATCCTCCTACTCCTGCTGAAACTGATGTAGAAATACTATTCCTGGTTCTCAGTCACATGGAACAAATAAACACACTGCATGACAACAAAAGATCAGACAAAAACAAGCCTCAAAGTGAACAACATAACCTGGGGCTGCCTGCCCACCCCAGATTTCCACGCTAGTTACTGGAGTACCATCCTTACAACACAGCCACCTATTGTGTGACTAGGGAAGGCATGTGATCAGGATGTAGTTCAAGGTATATATGATAAGCATGTACATCGGCTGCTACACACGGCAACGACTACACTGCTGGAAAGCAGACTTGTATTCTACTGTTCTGATATACTCCAGTAATCAATGTGCCTGGTGTGTGTATTTGGAACAAGACACTAACAGTGATGATTCAATTTGCATATCCCATCCAGGCGAATGAAGAATTAGTCATTCACATTGTCGTCATTCTTGATAAACATTCTAAATAAAACCAGTGAAAATGTTATGTTGCATGAACTTAATTTCATGGAAAAATACCAGCCAAAAATAAATATGGTCCCAATCTTTTTAAATGAATAACCTGATCAGTTGTGACATATGGGCATTGGATGAGTTAGAACCACATTAGAACAAATTACAGGTGTATTAGCCTTATCAATCACTCCATATGATGATCAGCTGTTCACATCCAAGGTTCTCGTCACTTGGTTCTCATAATTTCTTATTTCATTCAATATAAGGCACAAACATTTTGACAAGTCTTTGCTGAACACAATGGTAAAATAAGCAATCTTCCATGTGAAACAAAGCTGCTGTTCTGACAAGAATCAAAATGAAGCATACAAATGTACAAATTAGTTTGTACAATACTTCAAGACAACAACTATAAAATAGCTTGCTATACCAAGGGATACAAGGATACTGCCAAACCGTGTACAGCACAACATTGAAGTGTCCAGTCAAGAACTACAGAGTAATGATAGGGGGAAACAAAGTGTACCTTGCTAGGCTTGGAAAACTGAGAGACTGGTTGGTCGTATATTGATTGTAAGCATGGAAACAATAACTGGATGGTTACTACTACACCTGAGAGGGTCAAGGGGAGGGTTGAAAGAAGTTGGAAGTGTTGCCCCAAAGAAATGCCAAAAATTTAAGGAAGGACTATTTTCTTAGTACATTTGAAGACAAAGACTCCCTGCCTACCAACCTAACTAAGTGCCCAGTCCCTGAGAGAAGGCCGACCACGTGGAGCGGTATCCTTGCACCCCTATTGCATCTACAGTTCATCTTGTGCACGATTCACCTATAGGTTGCCATCATCCATCATCTTGTGCATGTCTTTAACTATAGCATCAAACGTTTCCGTGTATTTACTCTCCGACTGGAAAACAGCATTTAATAGATCAGGCTGAGCAAAGAAGTTAAACACAATGTCCACTCGAGTCTTGGACTTGTCAGTGAGATGCCGAGCTATGAGCTTTTGGAGCAATGCTTTGCATTCCTCAAGTGTCTTGCACAGATAACTCACATCAAAGGTGAAATCAACTTCATGGAAACTGATAACTGTCATCGCCAGCGAATGAAACTTGGTTTTGAAGCTTTCAACAACTTTCAGGTCTTCTGCGTTGAACTGATCATTACGAAACAAAATCCCCACTTTGACGACTGTTTTAATTATGTACTTCATTATTTTCTCCGCCTCTTTCTTTGTGCTGGCGTAATCTCTGACAATCCTGTGAGTGTTGTCCAGCACCCTCCCTGTTGTGTCGTCAATGAACACCTTGGCAATGGACTTACTGGACATCTTGCCTAGGAGGTTCTTCTGTACCCGCAGTCCCATGCCACGGGAGTCAAACCCTGCCCCTGGCTCTGCCACTGAAACATCAGAGGACATCACTCAGACTACATAACCAGACACATTGCTTTCAACAAACATTCTCCTTCAGAACAGTTGTACATGGCTAAGAAATTGCTCCTGTAAAGAAGCATGACCAACCTGTGGACAAGGATACATTTAACATACATAACATACATAACATACATAACATCCACTCACCAAAGGCAGATTGAGAGTCATCAAACCCACCATGCCGATAACTTATTGAGAGTGTTCTTCCCCAACTTTTTACCTTATGGATTATTACTTCCACATTGAAATTAGCATCTTCATCAAAATGGGACTAAAATGCACCCCCTCATCCTAACAACTGCAAGCTGCAGACATACAATCAACATATTTCTGAAGACTTGCACCCCTACCTAACATGCTGCTGACACAATAAACCAACTTGGTCTCCATCACTGATACTGGTCCTGCCTCGGTACCTTCTGTCTCCCCTCACACTACCACCTAGTGGCAGGCCCTTCCTCTCTTACATCACTATGCGTGCACACTTGACAAATGCACATGCCAACTTCACACATGATCAGCCATTGATCTGTGCGCTACTGTTCTATGAAATCTGTACAAATGGTTGTATTGATGAAGATAAGGGCAATGCTGACTACCACATAGTGAGTGCTGCTGGCAGTTGGTGAGATACAGTGGAGCAAAGCGGTATTTGAAAACATGTTGATATTTAACAAGCTGTACATCCAATGGTGTCTTCTGGTGTTGTTCCATAATGCTATTTGCTTATGCTATTTATAGTTCAATAAAGGAAACACAATATCTGTCAAGCCATAAAATATATGTCAGTGCCCAAACCACTCAAGTCTGCTAGCCAGAATTTGTACTTTTGCATCATTATTAGTACATTTTACAGTTTCCCCGTTTACCGCTAATTACCAGTTTATTACCACTACAATCAGGCATGGACCGGTAATTCATGGGACCGCCAGTCAATGTTGACTGGTAAATAGTCCTGTTGTCTATTTTTAGTGCAAGGAAATAACATTTCACTTTTCTTCGAGGTTAAATATCCATTTGTAGTGAATTAGTCTCAAACCAAAGTGGAATATTCCAGGGAAAAAAGAAAAAATTGTGACTGAACTCTACGTGTATGACGTGTAGATCTAACTAAGATACTTCAGGGATGATGTCATTGAATATGTCAGCCATCAACAGACACTGCATTTTACCTGATGTTGAAAGAATTAAAACCAGTTAATTTTCATAAGGGTTGTTTTTTTCAAGGTTGGGACTGACAAAAAGTAGAGGGAACAGTTTTTTTTAGAGTTGCCAGTCGACTGGGATTGGCAGTTAAAAAAGCCAGCAGGAACACTGCAATCTAGCCTTATAGGCTTGAGTAGTAAAAGTGGTTGAAGTCACCAACATTTAGAGACCATCCTCAACAAAACTGACGGAGCAAACAACCTGGCTTATATTTCAATGTCATTGCAGAAAATACAGTAACTAGCTGGTTCATCTATCTCTAGATAGATCATAAATGTATTGTTACAGTTCACCTTCTGCAGATACTGACATTAAGCCTGTGTGAGGCCACAATGTTAAACAGAGAGACATGACCTCTATGAATTTGACAAGATTGCATCTTTATAACTACAACTTACAACAAAGAATTGTATCTATCAAGCTCTAATTTGAAACATGCCTCACCAAATCACAGGATAAATTAATTCACTTAGGAGAGAACATCTGTATCAACTCACAGAGAGCTTATAGGTTATTGTCTAAATAGATCAAGTACATGTTAACATAAACTGTGTCCTCATGATAACTTGCAAATATACACTCTTGTCAAAAGCCATCATGTTTACATTCAAGTGAATATGTTCCATTTAGGTATAGAGCTGGAAGACTTTTCAATATGTGTAATGCAGTAACATATTTACACGAATACTGGTCCTCGATCCACTCAATCCACTTTATCTTCAATACACATACTACAACTGTGCCATGTTAGAGGTGAAGAGAGCCTAGCATGATCCCAGTACTTACTGTTGTGTGGCCTCTGTGTATACCGTCAGTGTGTCTGCAGCACCACAGGGTACTGAGCTATCATGTGTAGTGTGCTGGATGTCTGGGTTGGCTGGGGTCTTGTGCCCCTGTGGCAGCTGCTGGGTCGAAATGCTGGGGTAGCTGCTGCTGCAAGCACCTGGAACATGTCAACCACACATATCATTCTCAGGCAGCACCTGGAACATGTCAACCACACATATTCTCAGGCAGCATCTAGAACATGTCAACCACTCATATCATCCTCAGGCAGCATCTAGAACATGTCAACCACTCATATCATCCTCAGGCAGCACGTGGAACATGTCAACCACACATATCATTCTCAGGCAGCATCTGGAACATGTCAACCACACATATCATTCTCAGGCAGCATCTAGAACATGTCAACCACACATATCATTCTCAGGCAGCATCTAGAACATGTCAACCACACATATTCTCAGGCAGCATCTGGAACATGTCAACCACACATATCACTCTCAGGTAGCATCTAGAACATGTCAACCACACATATCATTCTCAGGCAGCATCTAGAACATGTCAACCACACATATCATTCTCAGGCAGCATCTAGAACATGTCAACCACACACATCATTCTCAGGCAGCATCTAGAACATGTCAACCACACATATCATTCTCAGGCAGCACCTGGAACATGTCAACCACACATATCACTCTCAGGTAGCACCTGGAACATGTCAACCACACATATCATTCTCAGGCAGCATCTGGAACATGTCAACCACACATATCATTCTCAGGTAGCATCTAGAACATGTCAACCACTCTTATCATCCTCAGGCAGCATCTAGAACATGTCAACCACTCATATCATCCTCAGGCAGCATCTAGAACATGTCAACCACACATATCACTCTCAGGTAGCATCTAGAACATGTCAACCACACATATCATTCTCAGGCAGCATCTAGAACATGTCAACCACTCATATCATCCTCAGGCAGCATCTAGAACATGTCAACCACACATATCACTCTCAGGTAGCATCTAGAACATGTCAACCACACATATCATTCTCAGGCAGCATCTAGAACATGTCAACCACACACATCATTCTCAGGCAGCATCTAGAACATGTCAACCACACACATCATTCTCAGGCAGCATCTAGAACATGTCAACCACACATATCATTCTCAGGTAGCATCTAGAACATGTCAACCACACACATCATTCTCAGGTACAGTCCGTTTGACTCCAAATGAGACCAATGAATTGCAAAATAACTTGAAATCAAGAAAAGTTTATGAAACATCAATACGGTACTTGACCATGAATACCCTGTACCAGACAAAATCTGAATTTTGTTTATTTTAAGACCCATGACGGATGAAGTTCTTTAAGAAACTATCATGTAATTTTGTATAGAAATGTGTACATGACACGTAGGGGGGACAAACCGTGGAAGGCACAGCGCAAGCACGCATGCACTGCACGTTCTGTGGTAGGGGAAATGACAGAGCGTTAGAGGGGCCGTCTCATGATAATTTCAGTCGCAATCTGACTCGCTCATGCCATAGATCTCGTCGTCGGAACTGCTGGTGCCTGAACTGACTGCCACTATTATAGGTTGGACTGTTGCTGGCCGTAGTCCATCTCGTGACCAATAACGTGGCTCTATCTCGTCAACGACTGTGGCCACACAACGCCTCCATGTTTCTACTGTTACCCGACCAAGGGATTCCTTTACGAGTTGTTCAACGTCTCGTAATTTGAACGTTGTAATTTGATCGTCCAATGTCACCCTTGATGATGCCCCATATCAACTCGATTGGATTCAGGTCGCAGTGATAAGGTGGCAGTCGTAAGACAGCGTGACCCTGACCCTTGATGTAACTGTTAACTTTATACACGGGGTCAGTTTTCATAGTTTTGATGATTTCATAGAGCTGTGGTTTCGTCGCTCGAGAAGGAAAGGTAATGTATCTCCGTTGCAGCCAAGTAACCATGTCTCCTTTACGGTTATTAGAGGTTGGAGTCTTGCTTTCCTGATCCTGCACACTACGATACGGTGCATTGTCCATTACAATGAGAGACTTGGTAGGCAAAGCAGGGACTAATTTATCTTTCACCCACTCCAGAAATACATTGCCGTTCATTTCTGTGTGGTAGTCCCTGTTGTCTTTGGCCTTGGCTCTAAAGACGAGGTCACAGTCTGGGAGAAAACCCTGACTAGCAGAACCAGCATGAAGAACTATGAGTCTTTCACCCTTTCCCATTGGTAACTTTCTACCAGACTCCTTACCAGGGGTCCGGAAAATATAAAATCCCAATCGGACATTTGCATTTAGGCCACGCCCCCTTCAAATAGCGTATGTTAGTACAACTTTTCGCACACATTACAAGTCGTTACGTATTCATAATATAACCAATTATGAATTGTTTTAATTTAAATTGTTTAATTCACCGGACAATTAATAACAAATAATATCATTTTAGATATACATGGAAAACATACGTTTGTTTCTGTTATAATAACGATCCGTTAACGTAGTGAATGGTCTAATTAATATTCATGAGTCTGCTCAAGTGTATGCGTTGTAACATTTGGATCGAGACTATTATCCCAGTATTTGGTTATCACGTGACCTCACGGAAAAGTTTTTTTAAATAACTAAAGATTATTTAAAAACAAGATAGATAATATAATCACAAATACTAAAATATCTTTGATAGCAATAGTTATTTGAATACTTTTTTCATCTGTTCTTAATTATTGACCATAAAAAAATTTGACTATCGATCGTCACAGAAAGCAAAATGGCGGTCAATCAAGATTCAATATACGACTAGCTACTGAAAACAATAAAATCTGCAAATCCTCATTGTATGTCAACCAAGTGAAAGTCGTTAGCCACGACTTACAAAATGATTGTCCAGACTTTGAGGGTTTGGCAGTTCCGCTCGACTGATCTGCATCGGTCGACTGGCTGTCGTCACACTTTCGCTTCTTGTCTGAGGTTACGTATCGTAGCATTGTGAGGATAATGAGGTACATCGATGATGCAAGGTATTTATGTACAGTTGTAAACACCTTTCACTCAAATTAACAAGATGTTCTCAGTAATTAATAGTCGATTAATCAGTGTCAACTCAGTTTATTGCCTATTACAGTGATTGACCGATTGGACTAGCATGTAGGTACGATGTATTTACAGCAATCAAAACAAACAAAGCTTGTCAGTGTAGATTATCTTCATTGTGTTACAACTGCAGAAGGGGCGGTCGAGTAGCCTTGTGGTTAAAGCGTTCGCTCGTCACGCCGAAGACCCGGGTTCGATTCCAGACATGGGTACAATGTGTGAAGCCAATTTCTGGTGTCACCGGCCGTGATATTGCTGGAATATTGCTAAAAGCGGCGTAAAACCATACTCACTCACTCACTACAACTGCAGACAGAAACTGCTCAGTCCTAACTGTTGATCATGTCCTTTCAAAATTTAAGAATGTCCGGACAATACTTTTTAAAATGTCCGGACAGAAAAATTTAAATGTCTGGTAAGCAATATTTTAAACCGGACATTTGAGATTCCCAATCGGACATGTCCGGCGCATATGACGATTTCCGGACCCCTGCTCCTTACAGTCACCACTGGGTACCCACTGACTGCTGGCTGTGTGTGACGCATTTACCCATGTCTCATCTAAGAAGACTGGCTCATATCCTTCTTCACGTTTCTGCTTGATGGTACGAAGGTAATGATTTTGTGGGACGAACAATGTCAGACCGTTCACACAACACAGCCCTATTTTCTCCAGTTATCTTTTTGTATTTGTAACCAAATGTATGCAACAGCTGCCATAGTTTGTACTTTGTAACATGTAAATCATGGTCAGTTTCAAGGTGTTTCTTCAAAATTCTTAGGGACAGGTACTTATTTTCTGAGTGCAGTTAAACAATTGCACGTCTGACTTGATCCCTCTGAAAACTGTCTAATTTATCAACCTTGCGTGGTTTTGACATGTTCCCTACCTCCTTGGCCTGACTATTTGTATCTCGTTGACAAACAACATTTTTAAGTTTCTGAGGGGACATACCAAGAGCTTTTGAAGCTCGTTTCAAGAATTTATTCATTGCATAAAAAGGCTTTGCTCTTTCTGCTTCACTTCTAAAGAAATCATACACATTAAACATCAACTATTTAACATCTGCTGAGTAGCGCATCTTGTCATTGAATGAACACGGTCACTGTGTAGCACGCTGTTCCTTCCACGGTTTGTCCCCCTACGTGTCATGTACACATTTCTATACAAAATTACATGATAGTTTCTTAAAGAACTTCATCCGTCATAGGTCTTAAAATAAACAAAATTCAGATTTTGTTGGGTACAGTGTATTCATGGTCAAGTACAGTATTGATGTTTCATACACTTTTCTTGATTTCGAGTTATTTTGCAATTCATTGGTCTCATTTGGAGTCAAACTGACTGTAGCATCTAGAACATGTCAACCACACATATCATTCTCAGGCAGCATCTGGAACATGTCAACCACACACATCATTCTCAGGCAGCATCTAGAACATGTCAACCACACATATCATTCTCAGGCAGCACCTGGAACATGTCAACCACACATATCATTCTCAGGCAGCATCTAGAACATGTCAACCACACATATCACTCTCAGGCAGCATCTAGAACATGTCAACCACACATATCACTCTCAGGCAGCACCTGGAACATGTCAACCACACACATCATTCTCAGGCAGCACCTGGAACATGTCAACCACTCTTATCATTCTCAGGCAGCATCTAGAACATGTCAACCACACATATCATTCTCAGGCAGCACCTGGAACATGTCAACCACTGATATCCTTCTCAGGTGGCACCAAGAACATGTCAACCACACATATCATTCTCAGGCAGCATCTAGAACATGTCAACCACACACATCTTTCTTAGGCAGCACCTGGAACATGTCAACCACACATATCATTCTCAGGCAGCATCTAGAACATGTCAACCACACATATCACTCTCAGGCAGCACCTGGAACATGTCAACCACACATATCATTCTCAGGCAGCATCTAGAACATGTCAACCACACATATCACTCTCAGGCAGCATCTAGAACATGTCAACCACTCTTATCATCCTCAGGCA